AAGTGCAATATTTTGTAAATTTTATGTATTGCTCAGCTGCAGCTACTACATGCAATTATAAGTCTTCGAAAAGAACATATAAAAAACAAACTGCTTTTTTGGAAAATTGTTTGATCAATATTAAATGAAAATCTTCTACAATACACTTTAAGCTTTGCATATAGATGTATATAAATAAATTATTGTTTAAATCTACATAAGAACTATACAAAAATGTCTTACATTAAATAAATGTATCTTTGTAGTTGTTATACTTTAAAAATATCCTAATATGTTTAAGTTAAATCAATTCTGCTATCCTTCTATTATTCAGCTAACCCCAACCCTTTTTCTCCCCCCTATTCAAAAAGTCTGTGTAAAATATTAAAAAAATGCATAGAAAAAAAGTTCATCAACAAATGACGTAGCTGCCGTTTTAAATTCTGAGTCTATATCTAAATGTATTTTCTTAGAAATGGGATTGAAGCACCACAGTCATAATGGCGATAGTTTTCCAATATTTTTCCACTAGCACAACTTTAATAATCACATTTAAAATAACACGTATTTTCTATGTTGCTAGCTAGTTACATATTTATTCAAAATTTTAAATGCTTAAATAAATGCTTGTTAATAAAAGTCTCTCGTAAATTTGTTTTACGGTTCGATAAAGCCAATGAGCTTTTCGGGCAATTTTCAAGCAATTAATTAATTTTCTATCTTAGCGGCATTTTAGACTTGTTGCCCAAGAGCTGGCTGCTAATTAATTATTGTGTTGAAGGGCTGCCAAACTCAGTTAATAGTAGCTTGGGGATATAGACAACAAGTTCCCAATACAAACACACTCATTACAAAAGAAATCAGGATTGACTAAAACATAAATATTTTCCATTAAATCTGCACTCAATTCTCCTCCCAATACTAAGCAAACATTAATAACCAGGTGTATATAAGTGTGTGTGTATCTAACAAACTATAACTGAATATGTATATGTGTTTGCTAAATAAGTTACAAAACTTTTTAGCTATGGCACTGCATGCAAGCAAAGGCCAAAAGCCCCCAGCTAACCAGTACACTTACACTTACTTCGCAACATGTAGGTACATAAATATAGATAGCTGTGTGTGTACATACAAATAGCAGGCACTGTACTGTGCGGATGCTGTACAATGGCGATGACTGTTGCCTGTTTTATTTATTGACTGTTAAACTTTTCATTAGCCATTTCGTTTAATTCACACACAATAGCAAAAGATTGAAAGGCAGAAGTAAAAGCAGCAGTCAGAGTAATAGCAACAACAACAGCAACAGCAGCCACAACAACAATAACAGGAGCAATATGAACAAAAAGCAAAGGCCAACAGCAGGCAAGAAAACGGCGGAAATACACACAATACAACAAGAACAGCGCAAACGGCACTAAGTATAATGTATTTGCCTTGAAAGCAGCAGCAACTTTATTGCCATTGTATATAGTATGTATGTACATATGCGTATGTGTGTGTGTGTGTGTATGTGTATGTGTATGTGTGTGTTTGTCACAGATACAATCAGTGCGCAATTGTCTGCGTTGATGAGCTGCCGCTTTCGTTGCTCCACTCCTATTCCCGCTCCGAGCCCGACGACTCCCATAACTTTCGCTCATTTCGGCTGCTGTTGCTGTTGTTGTTGCTGTCATGTAACTTCGTCTGGTTACGCATGTGTAACATGTTCCTACTAGCACCGCCCCTCCCCTTCCCCCCCCCCCTCTCCAAACCACCTCTCCACTGTGACACTGCTCTGTGTGTTTCTGTGTGTTTTTTATGACAAAACGCGCCACGTAATCACAATGATAAGCATCTCAACACATACGCACAATGCATGGAAATTATGTATGTATTATGATTAAGTGAAAGTTGGCAAATGAAAGGCTCATGTCAGCAAGCCAGCAACCACAGACACAGACACATACATGTCTATCTATTTAGTATATAATATTTTCGCAGTAAATGAATTTCACATTTGCAGGTCTATGGGGAAACCAAAATAGTTTTCAAATTATTTTGATTGTCAACACAGAGATACATTTTTTATAATGAAAAAATATGCACTTTACGTTTAGTTATAGCTGCTCTATAAAAAAATACATATCGTTAAATCCATATCTACTACTACTCATGAGGAATAAGCGTTTCTAAACTGTAATGAAAATACTGTTCAGATACCTTCTTCCAAGTCATTATCTGCACTGGCAATAATGCAGTTGTAAATTTGTATGGCCTCTACCAGAAGAGTAATAATATATAATTAATATATCCAGAGGAATTCCCAATATAGTTCAGCTTGATCAAACAATTCCATATAATCTCTTCCACCTTCCTCCCATAGATGGCTAATCTATAAGAATGTAAAATCTAGAAAACTCTAAGAAGTATTCACATACTTATCAGTCTGAGAACAGCATTTAATTTTCGACTATATTTTAAGCGAATTATTCTGTATTTACAACATTTTTTAAACCATAATTTAAAAATTGTGTAATATTAAAATCGGATAATGAAGACGAGTTCAGAACATTACTTAAGGTATGGATTTTTTTTTGAATACCCCTATGCCTTGTACAAAAATATCATTGCAGTATGTATCGTTTTATTACTATTATAGTATATATCGATGTTTTCCTTTAGTATTAATGAAAAACATATTTTATGGCCACACTGTGGTTGGCCTCTTTCCTTTTCTTGTTAACTCTGTTCGAGTGAGGTTGTGTTGCTGGTGTTGCGGTATAAAATATAAAGTAAAATATAAAGCCATAAAACATATATGTTGTGTTATTATTTAAATATATAATTGAAGTATAAAATACAACAGGTTTTATAGTTTTGATTACCCACAAAATCTCTCAGTTTAATGTTTTTTCTTCGCTAAGATTTCCCTTGGCATTGTCCACGGCCCTCTAAGTTTTATTGCTTTAAGTATGATGAAGTTTTCCAAAATTTGTTTACAATTTTTTGTTTAAAAAACCCCACAATAATAATGCTTAATTAACATATTTAAATATTTTTTTTTTTATAATTATAATAGATGTCCGTTTGGAAGCAAAACTTTCCAAGACTATGATTTTCTGAGAAAAACATCATGGCTTGAAAAAACTTTAACAAATGGCAACAACTTACATCGAAATATGTGTTCACAAAACAACTAGCTGTGTGCCATGAAACTTATATTCCATTCATGTCTGGAAGTGTATGTTTGAATGAGTATCCATGTAGTGTGTATGTGAACGTATTATTTGTGCTAAAAACGTCTGCAAAGTGACAGCATGATGCCAGAGCCAGCCATCTAGCCAGCCCGCATAAGTATGCTACGACAAAGGCATGTCGTTCACCCTCTTGCCGCTCCTTGCCCACAAGTCGACAAGCGACTGTGGCGTCCCAGCCACGTACCCATTTCGTTTACTCTAGGAACACGCACAGACACGTGTACATGTGCTGGTACAGTGGCACAATGCTTAAGCAAACATTGGACTGGTGTGACATATTACAACACTTACCCCAACCCTAAGAAGCAGCTGTCCCCAGCATCCGCATCGTCCCCTCTACCACCTGAGCAGCAAACTACTCAACGACTCGGCGACTTGTTTTGTACAGTAAAGGCGTTTTTTTTTCCTTCACCTATTTGTAACAAAAGCAACATCATGCCACCACACGGCCCCTTCTGTGTGCAACACTATTTCACAGCTTTTCGTATTTCGTATTCGTACAACCGTCTGGGTGTATACTTGTTGTGTGCATGTGTGTGTGCGTGTGTGTGAGTGTGTGTGTGTGTGTGTAAAGGCAATGTACAGATGGACGCATTGCGAACTCTTCACCGCACATACTCGCACATTTATATTTTTCATCAGCCATGATATCCTGTGTAGATACCTTTTTCCAATTTGCGGTACGACAATCAGACGGGCTTTGAAAGATGGATAAACCACAAATCGGCTCTGACTACATACTTGTATAACATTTATTTACAGTATGTAAAATTTTTGTTTGAATTTGAATTTTGTTAAGCTTATTCATGGAGAAAATTATAGTTGCATAACTTTTCTTGATTAATATCAATAGTTAATTCCAATCAATTTGTGATTTATATAAGTACAAAAAAAAGGCAAAACCCTTCTTTAATTTTTTTAATGTTTAATACTTCAATTTAGGATTAAAAGCTTTGTTAATAAGCACATTTCTATAGTTTCATATTGATTCGCGCGTAACCTGTACTTTCATTAAACATTACTTTTGTCATTGAATTTTAGAGCATTTTCAGAGTATTTCATAGCCCACAACTCTTCACTTTTGTCATGACAAACCATCTCCTTTTTCCCCACACAGATAAGTGTGTCAATTTTATGGATTTATTGCGGCAAAAAATTCGAAATGCATTTCGCTTTTGTGGTCAGGCATTAGCTCACTGGACGTTCTGTTTGGGAAATTGTTTACCATGTAGTATAATTTTTTATCACCATTTGCATTGCAATGGCATTTAAATAGCTGTGGTTGACAGGCACATAAAACAAATTAGATTTGTTGCTAATTTTTCTGTGCGGTTGGCCAAAATGTTTTAAATTAACCAACGGCAATCAAATAAATGCGCTTTATGGGCTTCACTTTTAAGCAATCATTTAAATTCTTGGTTTTTTATAGCAAACGCCCCTTTTCCTTTATATATATTATATAAATAAAGAGCAACATTTAAATGAAAATTGGAGCCAATGGAAGTTAATTTTCAGGAGAATCATTATTACGTTCAATTGGTTTGGACAAAAACAATGCTCTAGAAGTTGCCAAATGTAATATTTTTAGAATGAACAGACGATAGAATTTATATCAATATATTTACGACGGTTTTACTTTCATAAAGCAAATTTGAAAAACTAGATTACAAGCCACCTCATTGATAACCCAATCTGAAAGTCTCTCTGTGTTATCAGTGATCAGTGTTATAGAACCAACAAAGTATTTTGTTTCCATGTTCATACCCAGTATCAAGACGACAGGTCGAGAAATAACATTAGAGAGTGAAGGAGCCATCAGCAATGTCTATGCTAATTTTATTTTTAATTTGTTGCGCAACATTTTCCGGATCTACAGGCAACTACCATAATGGTCTGGATATTGTGGTGAGTTGGAAAGCCTCTGATGGGAGAAAGTCTGAAGTCTTTTCATTTTCAGAAAGACACGATAACAGGGCTGGAAGAAAAATGCGGCACATGCGGCTATCAGAAGCTATCATCACAGACATCGGAGACATCCGAAACAATTCAGAAATATACATCACAAGAATATGAAAGCATTATTAAGGAAAAGGATAGTCAAATTACGAAGCTACAAGTCCAGCTTGCTTCTAAAAAGGAAAATATCAAGGACTTTAAAAAGCAGCTTGAAATAAAAACAGTGGAATGTGAAGCAAGACTAGAGGAAAAATCGAATCAATTGGCAGATCAAAAATCAATTATTCAGTCACTTGTCGCTAACTGCAGTAGCGGAACTCAACAAATCAATGAACTGCAGAATAAAGTGAAATTCTTAGAAATTCAAATGGAAGCTCTGCGTCCCAAAGCTGTGCTGGAAAACAACAAAGAGATCCTCACGTGTGAGTCCTTTGAGAACTCCTCAAAAATTGAAGTACTGCAAATTCCGGGCATAGCTGAGCCCTTCTCAGCTCTTTGTGATGCTGAAGTAGCAGGCTCGGGCTGGATTGTGATTCAACGTCGATTCGATGGAAGTGTGAATTTTGATCGCATCTGGGAGGATTATCGGTTTGGGTTTGGCAATTTGAATGGCGAGTTTTTCTTTGGATTGGAAAAGCTGCACCAAATCACAAAATGGAAACCCCATGAACTATATATACAGCTAAAGGATTACAATAATCGCACTTTATATGTCCGGTTTGAACAATTTGAAATTGAAAACGAGGAAAGCGACTACATGATAAAAAGAGTAGGCAATTGTATCACTAATGCTACAAATGTCAAGATACTGCAAAAAAATATTAAATTTAATACTCGTGATAAAATAAATTGCAAATATTTCAGCTGTGTAGGAAGTTATGGTTGGTGGCACATAGCATCTATGAGGTAAATAGTCAAATTTATTGTTATTACTATATAGTATTTATTAATTTACACTTTGCACAGCAACTTAAACGTTCCAAAGTATTCCCAGCTATATTGGGAGGAATATAATAAGGCGATCAAGGTGAAGTCCACAAAAATGATGATCAAGCCAAAAAGATGGCTGCAGGATTAAGGAAGTAGGTGTTTTTCATTTTCAAAGTGCACTTCAATAAATAATCGATTTATGGCTATATTTTAAACGTTATCAATTACAGAATGGGACCAGCTCTTCCTTCATTTATATGTGCTTCTAATACGAAAGCTTTAACAACTCGATAATCATAGATTTGTAAAAAAAATTGTTTAACTATTCAAATGTTTAACATTATTATTTTCTGTATTTCAACTGCTGTAGTTAATTTGTCCATTGTTTTCAGCGCGGGCCACATTTGCACTCATTTTACATATTATTTATTAAGCAGAAAAATTTGCACATACTATATGTACTTAAGCTCGCAAAAAACATACTCTGGGATATGTAGTATACGTATTTATATTAACGCAACTTGCAGAAGGGCCATTAACGAACTAATAAATTATTTACTAGACGAAAATCTGAAGGAGATAAGAGCTCGTGAGCCTGAAACGTGCGCCCAAGCGAACCAAAACAAAAACGTGCACAGGCGCCCCAAAAATACAAATGAACAGACGCACCAACACCCACACACACAGACACACAGGCATACACCTACATTATTGGTAGCTTATACATATATATATACACCCACACATGTTGATTTTGCTCTTGTTATATGGTATTGTTGTTGTTATTGTTTTTCCTGTCAGTCTCAAAGTGAAAGCAACATTATTTACATGAAATTACAGACAATTTACGTTTGAGTAGCTTTATCTGAGGCAGGAGCAGCAGCAGGAGCAACAACAACAATAAAAGCAACAATAACCATGCTGTGCTTCCTGCTGGATATGCTGGCCATTCCTAGCTAGTGCGCTGTTGTTAGCTTTCCTGTATAACACATACATATATGTATGTATGTATGTATGTACGCATAGTATGCATGCATGAATTTTCGCTATTTTTGGGAACGTGATTATCCTGTGGCAATATTTGAAAAACAAGCGTCAGGACATCGATGTCCTGCTCTATCATCTCATGGTCTATACAATTGTTTACATATCTGCCGGGGCAGTAATAACAGAAACAGCAACAACAACAACAACAATGACGATAACAATGGCCACATCCGGAAGTACATTGAATTTTTCCAGGCAATATCCTGTGTCCAAAAAAAAACACACACACATACACATGCACATATGTGTTGACTACACATTATATCGATTACCAACATGTAGGCCATATGTGACAGAAGTTGGCTGAAACAAAAATAAAATAACAATTGCGACGTGTGGCTTTGAAAAATACAAATAAAAACCAAATATTGCACAATACACTACTATTGTGTGTGATGGCTGTGCTTTCGAAGAATTATGGTATAAATATTGTAGACATAAGTACAATGTAGTGAAAACAGTCGATTGTAAATATATGTTAAATCAACAGAAATGGCACGTGTGATACAAATTGCAATTGGTTTTGCCAAAAAAGAAAAACAAACAATACTACAAACCTAGCCAAATATAATATTTTAGTACGAACAGACGATACTGAAATAAAGCACTATTGTAATGCTCGCAAAATGTTTTATAAGGTACCGACAAATATTTTAGTTGGACTGGCTTCTTTTGTAAATATTTAGCTGTTGAACAAATATCCGACCTGGGCAATTGCCCCACTTCCCCGTATTCAGAATGCTGTCAAGTCCATTGCCTTTAAATCAACACGTAGTGGCGAAAACAGCAGTACTTGGTTTTTTGCAAATTATACGAATATTACAGCTAATTAGGATAGGCTTTAGTTGAATTGTCAATTGAAATACATTTTGTGATCGAAATTTCATACTGAAAAGATGCTGAGATCTTTTTATTTGGGTTTAACCATTCGACATGAAAAACGACGAAATCGGGTATAAATTCGATTTGATTACATTCAAAAGGTCTAAGCAATTATGGGTATTTTATTTTGTGTACAGTTTGTGGTTTTGTATTGATTAGTAACGAGGCAAGGGAAACGTTGGCAAATAAAATTCTCTCATCAAAACGCAGGCGTTGAGCAGAATTATTGTGGTTTGAATAAATTTTGTCTACTAACAGGCTTCTAAATGAGTGCAAACTTCTTATATGTACCTATTTTTTTGCGTTGTACTTTAAATGTATATGGAACTCTTCGTTTAATTTCAAAACCTTTTTATAATTGTTAATGCGGCAGCGCGCTGTTAACTACAGCCGAGGCTAATAACTGCAGCGACAGCGGCAGCAGCAGCCAAAGCTAACAGCTGTAAGCGGTCTGTTAGTTAACAGATCGCTGCCCGCGCCGTAGCTCCTCTCCCTAATATTCTCACTAGTATGTAAGCGCTTTACTGGGAATTTGTAAAGTAATATAAAAAGAAGAATTAACGTTAACATGAAAGTAAATAGTGTTAGTTTTTCCTGGCACCGCCATTTTGGATTTAACCAAAAACGATGCCCCACTCCTATACAATTATGTTTAACAATATATCTTGTTCAAACACTTACCTTATGCCTCCCACATTGAGTATAATCCGGTTTTCGCCATCCATGTTGCATGCAACAGTTGTGGAAACAGCAGCCGCATGCCCCAATTTCTTTTCGCAATTACAGACGATGCCACGATGAGCGACTCCCGAAAATATGTTCAACAAAATATAACTACATGCTACGCACGCATGCACATGAAACGCGTGCCAACAATTTAAAATTAATTGTAAATTATTCTGATTTATGTCGCCGTTTAATTATTTAATAATGAATTCGCGTAAAATGTTGTGCACTAAGGCAACAAGACCGAACCGAGCCGTTTTTCTATTTCACACGCGAATGCATTTTAGAGCTTTGACAACGACAACGCGGCGTATACGTGACGTGACGTTCCCAGAGAAATGCTTTTTAATTACGCCCAACGAAGGTTTCCAAACGCCATACGCCAAATGCAAATGAAAATGCGCCTGCTGTTTGCTTTCTAGACTTTCACATCCACTTCCACTGCCCCTTAGGCTTCGGCTTCGGCTTCTACTTCTGCTTTTGCTTTTGCTTTTGCTTCTGCTTGTTCTTGACTTGCAATTTTGTGGTTTTGGTTTGCTTTGCATATCCTGCGCTCCTATGCAGCGCCAGCGAGGACTACAGCCAGCTTTGAACGCCGCCACGTTGGCCTTTGACTGCAAAAGGGAATGCAAATGGAAGGCATGGGTTTTAATGTAAGACAAAATTAGGTTAATATCTAAAGTGTATAGTATACAAGCAATTACATATGTATGTACAACCAGTACATATGTAAATACATACAAACACATACAATATGTACTACTATATACGCATGGCTGCCATTTTATATAATCTATAGCGTAACATGGCCCTGTGAACAGCCTTGAGCGACGCAAGTCGTCGCTGTGGTTTGCTAAAAATATTTCACTTAGACTTGAAAATTTAAATGTTATTAAAAATAGGAAAATTGTAATAAATCAACACAATAGATTTTTGTGGCCTGCAGCTTAAAAGCGTTTGATTTAATTCCACTTCAATAAATGTATTACCGCGCGATATAAATTTAATTGGAAGCCAATTGAAACCGGCGAAGCACGTGAAGTGCTTATTTATCTGATTGCAGAAGTAAACAATTTCCGCCATTTATCCGCATATATCACAATTCGAATTTCCGCAACTTCCTGCTCTCCGATCAAAAATAATTTCCCATTTTTTAACGGAGAGATGTGTACATGCGGTAATATATTATGAAACAGTTAAGTTTTACTAATCCTTTAAAATCGGATAAGTTGTTTTCTTAATACTACACATTTGCTATTCAGCACTGAACATTCAAAAGTTTATAAAGCGAGCAGATTATTTAGATTATTGCTTTAAATGCTGACTCATATTATTATTTGAAAATAAATTAAACATTTCATGGATAAAGCTACAACAAACAATACTTGTATATTGATTTATTGATTTTCTTCAATTATTAATGCGTTTAATAAGAATCAACCCATTGTAATGCCATATGAACAAGTGGTTTTATTGGTACGCTTTCAACTAGATACTAATGAGCTATGGAATCTCCATTTGAAACATCTGTGAGATCATTTAGGAAGCAAAGAGCCTGAGCCTGCTAGTCCGAAAGCAGGTGCTCTACACTTTACTACTCTTTCTCATCTTTACAGCTTCTGCAGTAACCATTAGGTGGAATAGAAGCTCGAAATGCAATTCAAGGCTTCGATGTTCCGTATCCTGCTGGGCTATCTCGTTAAGAGCGACGCTGGTTATTGGTTGGTTATGTTAGAATCAATTGCCATAAGGGCCACTTGATTGTCTAAAAGTATGTAAGCCTGCTATCTATAATGGTTGAGAGAAGAAGAACTTCTGGTACAGGTATCTTCTTGTATTGTTCTCAACATTAATAAAACTATTCTATGTTTGACAAAAATGTAATATACTGTGCTTTTTTTATCCCTAAAGCATATATTCTTCTTTATAGCTATTTCTATTTCAGCAAAGGCTCCACTTTGGCTTGGAAATATTATATAATTTATAAATTGATTATTTCTTTGCTACTTAGATAATCAGCATAATCAGCGAAAGCATTGTTCGAATGATCTTTTTAATTTCAATTTATATATTGATTGCGTAAGAATTTATTTTCATCTTATTCACATTTTGAAGCTGCCAAAGGACCAATATATTGAAGACCGTATTATAATTATTTTGCTCTTTTTCTAGTCATTTTTTTGACTTTACGGCACAAGTTGCGGCCTGATATTTGACGTCAATGCCGCCATTGTTTAGCATTATCGAAAGAAGTGTAAGCAAGAGAAAATCAAATTAAAGCGGTCGCTTCGTTCTTTGCCTTTGTACTGAAAGGGTTGACAACGCAAAAAAGCCTGCAACAGTTGCCATTGACAGTTTTGGGCGTTAAAAAATTCAATCACGGGCGCAGGCTGCTTTCAATTTATTTTATTTTTTATACATACACATACTATATATTTGTACAACAATACGCGCACCAAACAAAAACGACAGAGATTGTATACATGACGACCGTAAAAAAGTCATAAGTAAAGAAAAATGCAAATATGATTGACAGCTGCCCCCACTGCTAGAGGAAACGAGTTTCCATCAAAGCGAAAAAATTTAAACAACGAGATACTCGTACAAGATATTCCAGCAGCAAGAAAATGTACTACCCTGCCAACATTTTATTTTATTTTGATTTAAGTTTCATGCCAATGCTTCATCTTCTTCTTTTGTCTCCTCTAAGCGCGAGAAAAACTTGCGAAAACAACTTCTGTTGTGGCAGGACACGCTGATTGATTGCCACAGACGACCAGAAAGTTTAAAAATAGCAACAGCGCGACTGGAACGAATAAAAAGAGGCAGCTTTAGAAGACAAATTGTGCTCTCTGGGTGGAACGTATAGAAGAAGTTGAATTTCTTAAGCACAGTCAGCACCTTGAGAAAAGAAATTATATACAAATGTAAGCAAATTGTAGTTTGAGTGAAAAATGTCATAAATAAAACATTGAAAACAAATGTCTATTTTTATTTGTAAAATGTAAGTTGAGTTTTAACTCTTTCTGGCTAACCATTCATTTTTGGATAAATACACTGATAATTGCTTGATAACAAATCAGAGAGCTAATAATTGGCAAAAACTGAATTAAACTCAAAAGAATCCTCTTCTGCCAGTCCTCCTAGAGGACTTGGAGGAACCACGATGGACAAACGTGTAGTGAAATTTTGATGAGATGCAATATCGCAATCTTCATTTATATGTCGGCTAATTCCTACCAACATAGGTACATACTATAGATATATGTATGTGTAGTAAAATCATAGCATTTGCTTTCTTGCGACAAAGAAATTGGCCAAGCATAGCATATCAGGCCGTGCCTTTTGTAATCAAACACTGCATCCTTTGCTTTAAACAAATCCTAAAGTAATATATTATGTAATGGACAATTTTCCAAAGGGTCGTGTGCATCGTGTTGCAATGATTTCCGCATTCCTTTCATACACAAAGCGAAAGTTCGAGACAAGACGCCACACAAATGGTTTTTTTTTGCTTCGAAACAAGAGCTAGATATCTTGGGGTGGCAACAGACCTTATATAGGTCTTTCGTTTATCGTCTATCACAGCATAAAGCCAAAAACTTTGTGGGTGACAAAAATGTACTTTCAGAGCTGGGGAAAATCTGTTGTAGCTGTCTGTTTAACGTTTTAATATTTGTTTTAAGCACAATAGTAATTTCTGTTTCAGATTTTATTTATAAAATTGTTAGGTAACTGCTTTTCTTGCATTATACACTAAAGATCCTCGTTTTGAAATGTTTTTCCTCGGCTCTGACATACCGAATTCATTCATTTATTTAAGAATATATTAAAAAGCTTTTTAAGAGACGAGCCACCAAAGTGATTTATGTGCGAGCCACAAAAGCCTTCAATGAAAAGCGCAAATCATCTTTTCACTTGCACGAAATAAAATGTCAAGCACATACAATACGCATACGCCACATAAGCCCGCTGGGCATAAAGTCACTTCCAACACGGTGCAAAATTGTAAATGAACCACAAAAAAAAAAAAAAAATTAATTTGCCAAAAAAATGTTAAGAGCAGTCCGCCGCAATGCAAATGGAAAGTAAAAATTTCAGCTTGACGCGCCCAACAAGAAAAGAAGAAATAAATACACATAAAGGCGGCCCACAAAACTGTGCCCCGTCATTGCGGCACTTTTATGGTGCCTGCCAGTGTTGCGGCAGGGAAGCAGCATCACACAACACTTGCAACACACATTTTTACGAGGCACAACCCAAAGCCACTTGGCTGAGTATGCAAATTTTTTACTTGGTCGCACTTTTGCAAGCCCCGCCAACTCAAGTCACGCCAAGTCACTGTCGCACGGTGGGGACAGTTCTCAAAAATACTTATGTGACGTAACGAGAGAATATCTAAACAGCTGCTTAAAGTATATCTGCCGAGTTTCAACAAACTGGAAAAACAAAAACTGAAATTGTCATTCTTGACAAGATCTCCATCTAAAATCTTTCGAATTAGCTTTAAGCAATAAGAAATTAGGACAGGCATTGGGTTTAGATTTTTCAAACAAAGATAAGTCCAGTCTGCGAATGGGTCTTGTATGAGGTTTCTTAATCTCATCGTGCAACGGGAAAATAACGATAGACTCTCAACTGTCTCAACTGAAAAGGTAAGAAAGGATAAGCCTTTCCAAGTCTAAAGTGAACCTAGCAGTTGCTTGTGGATATCATCATGCAGCGAGAGGCTAAGAAGAGACTCTAATACCTATAACAATTCAAAAGAGAAATAGACGATTTTTTTAAATATTTACAACCGAATACTAAACGTTTTATGCCAATTTAAGTATGACTTTCTAGTTAGAATTCTCACATTCAGTTGTAACGCCCACCCGTTCTTTGTTATTAAATTTGGAATTTTACTTTAGCAGTTTGAGGCATTTTTCAATAGAGTTTTTATTATTTCTGGAAGCTACGTACAGCTATCTTATTATTGTGTTTAATTAAGGTTGTAAAAATACAAATAGTGTATTGTATAAGTGTTTTCGTACCATAATCCCATGATTTATGTAGC